TTTGTGCATACAATTGGGCCATGCGCCCAGTGCCTGCTGTTACAACCCACTCCCTTGATGGCCAATGACTTTGTCGTCATTGACATTAATGGAATCCATGAAGTTGGATTGGCTTTTGTGGCTGTGAGACTGTGCAAGTGCACTACAAACAGTTGTTATGAGCATGATGGTATCCAGCGACTACAACAGACCCACAAACAGCTGCCACATTTAATGTGCTGGAGCACTTCCACTTTCTATCATATGAGTCCAAGATTTCTGCCTATGAATTTTTTCATAGCTTGGCCAGGCGCACTGACAATATTGGATTGTCACCCATCAGGGTAAGTCTCAGATTCAAATACTAACATGACAGTACTCAAACTTGGGTCATAGCCAGGGACCTAACAGTGGTCCAAGGGTCCTGTGATTGGTCCACAGGTCCACAGGTCCTGAGACTCCAACCCATACCCATACCCCTGCTGATCCCTAGATGAGACGGGCTTGTGGATGGTAGAGCCATCTTCTATTGATAACAATGTGCACTTTGCAGTGATTCATGTTGACTCTATTTTTCGATCTGCCCATCTTATTCCTGTTTATGGTACTGAACTACTCCCTACAGTCATTAAATCCCACCATGTCCTTGATATATTCACCCTCTTTTATGTAAATAAATATGCTGACCATCACACTTTCGAGATAGCTTGTTAATGTTCTCTAACACGACTCGCTTTTTTGTTATTGCTTACTTTTACATATTGCTTCGCTTTTTCACTTATTTGTCTCTTTTACATATTCAATGGCACGAAGTTCTCAATTCCAAAAATAAGTGTGAAAAAGTGAGCACGAGTAGCTGGTCACTTATTTAAGTGCTAAAAAAGCTAGAAAAGTGAACTCGTGATTTCCTGATGCATACGACACAAAGAAGTGAGGGTATACGTGGAGCAACATGATATATAGTAATAGGAGACAACCGGAGTTAACATAAAGACGAGAAAGAGGATCGCGTCAGAACTAAGACCTTATACAGACGAAGTATCATTCGACAGTGCTTCTTGAAGGTAATCTATTGCCTCTGCTACTGACGGACGATCATCCCTTGCCGTTGACCAGCACCGCCGCATGAAATTCAGGTGATTAGGTTGGATCTCGATGGAAGAGTCGATAGGCTCTCCTTGGTTGAACTTAGCAGAAATAACGTGTAATGGCGACCTTCAGCCACCAGTAAGGCTGTTTCCCATATAGGACCTGCACGCGGGGCGATATTAGTGTCACTAGCAAGCCAACGACAGACTACGAACCTGAAGCATGATACCGCCGAGAGCGTATATGTCGCTGGATTTCGTTGCGCATTGTATGGGTTGATCTTCCGGAAGATCAAGGAGCTCTGGAGCGACCCAACGTATTGCACCGGTGTGGTAGGAAAATGTAGGTTTGATTGTACCATGATATTGGAGATACCGAAATCTGCAAGACGAGGGGATCCATCGGCAGCAACCAGAACATTATTCTACAATCACCATAAGATGATTCCACTTGCACGACATGTATTGACTTACGTTGGTGAGGTCACCGTGTATCACGTCGCGATCGTGGACTGCAGACAGCATAATTATATCAGTCACTTTATAGTCAATCCGTCACTCACGATACTGGAGCCCCTCGGTGATTTGTTTAAGCTGTGCAAACGTACTGAATTCCTGCACTCGGCTTCATAGATAAAACTCACCAGCCGAAGCCTATCCATCATCGAGAGGGTCTCATGTGCGTGATTAAGGTAAGAGTTCAAAGTCCCGTTCGGCATCCAGGGAGAAACTAATGCGCGAAATGGGCCGAATCCCTCTACAGTGCCATACAAGGGCAATACATATTGATGCTCCAGCACGGCCCATATGAGGATCTCGCGGTCAAGATCCTGCGTCTCAAAAGTTAGATATGCGGCCGTCAGACTGGATTTAGGTTAATATACCTTGTTGATTCTAACATATTCACGATCACTCAGGATTGGGAATCGTTGGGATTTGACCGCGACCTGAAGTTACAATCAGGACATGCAGAATAAACAAGTCTATGAAATACCTCATCCGAACTTGCACCGCGGCTCCATATACACTTGTAAACATCTCCGAGACCGTTGGAGGCGGTTGGGTAGTTAGTTGTCTTGTGAATATCACTTGGTTTGATACAGAGAGCACTACTATTGTTCGGTGTTTACAAAGTCCTGTCCTGAGGCAAAGAAATAACATACGTGTCCTCTGCGTCGGAAGTTCTATCGGGAGTGTCGACAATCGAAGTCTGGCTTGCGAGAATATCATCGACCGAAGGCTGAACGGGAGATGCTTGGCCACTTGGTGCACGGCCACCCTGTTAGAGTGGGATGAATGGATGGCTCCACCGCCGGACAATGCCAACAAACGTACAAGTCCAAGGAGCTGTTGCAAGCGGTTAACGAACATGTCCATTGTTGACAGGAAACTACAATGGGAAATGGTCTTGTTCCTTAATATCAATGAACTACAGTCTTATATGCAGACAACGTTCGTGCGACAACATTGCAAAGTCATCCCTCCGACGATTACGTGGAAAGAGACTGTAGGGTCAAGCTGAAGATGCCACGACTGGTGTTAGTCGAAGTAATGCTGTGGGTGAATCAGATCAATAATGAATACTGTCCTTCCACTACAAACGCTCATTTTCAAGTATCTACAGGGACCGAGCGGCAAACTTACTTCTAATGTTGGGCAGACAATGAGACATCTTGAAGCGCGTTATCAGGGTGTCAGGGATGTGAAGAGCCCTGGCAGCGCTGAAAAGGGTAGTAATTGCGCGAGGCAATATTTGCTCTCGGCGGCTTTGTTAGCAAAGAGACAAACCTCGTAGCGAAGAGATAGAACTTCGAGAAAGTTCGACTGGGCAATATTATAATAATTCAAACTTCGCCAGGCTACAAAAAATTGTTAACACAAGTCGGTCGTTCAGTGACGGTCAACTTTGAAGACTTCAACCAAATCGAAGAAATTGACAACTTGTACGTCATGAAGCCCTTTCAAACTTGGCTGGGAAAAGTAACTTGATGCGGTCGCACCGAATAGGTCCGTCCCATTTTACCTGCACCAATAGAACTTTCGAACCACTGATCTGTTCATATATTAATGGGACCTGCACAAGGTCTGCAGGGCTCTGACGCTCGCAGGGGGTTTGAAAGAAACGTACCCACATATGACAAGTTCTGAGGTGGGGACACGCCGCAACGGCTTGTGCTGTTGTTCAACCGCCCATCAACGAAATTGGCAACTGGGCCATATTAAAATCTCCCTTTGATCGTGAGGTTTTCATGTAATGTGATTCATCCTCATGCTCCGATATACGGAACAAACTAGGGATGTAATGTGGCCTGGCTTCGATAAACTGCCGTCACAGCCGGTACGGTTGTCTTCATGTCGTGACAGGCGAGGGCAAGGTTTCATAGTTCTGAATCTTGCTTAATTCGATCATCCGGCGTTGATTCTGCCGCTGGACTCATGAACAGGTCAGTCTTCCTTCCGTCTTGATCGATCCTGAATACTTTCCTTCGCAGGTACATTTAAATCACCAATGTCCCTCGCGCTTGAATCAGAATAACAAGACAACATCTCGTGACTATTGCGTAGAACACGGATTTTCAGCTCATGGGTGGCACGAGTCATCTGCACAGCTAGAAATATATGACAAACCCCGAAGGGTTCGCACGCAGACCGAAATTGAACGTTTGCAGCATGCAGACCAATGCTAATGGGTGCATACCTTCATCATGATTACCACTCCAAGGGAAGCTTCGGAGTCATTGTCGAACACTGGTTGCTAATACCATGCAGCGAATAGAGAAGGTAACTGGCTGGCGCACAGGGTTCGCCGTGGCAAGAGGTGGCTGAAGAGACGCTTGCCTCTCTCCTTCCCCACGGTGGTCCCGGGAGGCACCGGTTCTTCATTCGAGCAACTAGTCAAAAAAATCAGCCCATCGGTAAATAAATTCGTCAACGCGAACGCGTCAAGCGCGAACGCCAAGTGGTGAATCGAAAGTTGAGGTAAGCTAAGGCTACTTATATAATAGGAATAATTATGTATAAAATAATGTAAATATAATAAAGTCAAATGTAATAAGATAGATCAGCTCTCTGATGACGGTTTAACTAGGGCAGTGATATGATCCGATCCTAGAAAGCTCAGAACATCAACGGCAGAGGGGCGACGCCCTACATCACTCCAGCATTTCTCGATGAAATCCAAGAAAGAATCTGCGTCGTGCGGACTCGGTGGTCTTGTAGGCTTCTTGCCCTTGATTATCAGCACAGTAACTTGATGATCGCTTCGCACATCTGCGTAGGGCGGTCGACCTGTCAGAACCTACGGGATCTTGGTCGTAAATCAACGCAACTGCTATGGAATACCTCAAACCTGAAGCATGATGCATCCGAAGGAATAAATATCGCTGGCTGGCTGTGGAGGAGTCGATGGCTCTTCGTTCTCGGCCACCTCGAAGAGCTCTGGCGCAGCCCACCGCACGTTGCTCCTGATGTATGATGTCCCTGAGAGTTCAGAACACATTGTGAGGATTCCGTGGTCTGCTACGTGAGCATTGCGATCCGAATCTATCAGAATGTTGTTCTGACGTTCCAGATCAAAGCTAGAAGGCGGGTATCAGACAACTAGTACGTACGGCAGTAAGGTCACCGTGAACAACGCCCTTCGAGTGGACTGCAATCCTGTTACTCATTGTTTTTACGGACTAATGAAGATTCCACTTACGGTAGCTGATGGCTGTAGCGACTTGTCGCAACTAAAGTTCCAATGAATACCATGATGCACCAGCGCGTCTGAGAAACAACTCACAATCCGGAGCTTTTGTTCGATGGCCAATTCTGTGAAATGGTGTTCAAGATATGTGGTGAGTGAGCCGTTGTGTATCCAGGGGGTGACCATCGCTGGAAGTACCCCAAATTCATAACTGAAACCGAGCAGAGGCAAAAGATTTTCGTGATGCAGTTGCTTCCGTGCATGGAAATCATCCAAGAGTCTCTGCGAATCCATGGTTTGTATCACACGCAAGGGGGGTTCCGGCCGAGAACGTACTTGAGTAAGTCTGGCCTTGGAATCGTCGCCTGCAACATCGATCCTTATGGATTTGACTGCTACCTGTCATAGATTCAGATTTCTGGGCAGCTATACATGTGGCATGCTTGCCTCTAGGCCTTGACAGTTGGATGGGATGTAGGTGCATTTCCACACATCCCCGAAACTACCGTGCGCTAGTGGATGAGGCGACTCCTTGGATACGAATCCCGTAAGGTCGGGTAGGCTGCATGAAAAATCGCATGAGGAAGTGCGTTGTCACAGGGTACTATGATCATGAACTTGCTGGTTGTCAGGATCTATCTCACTATCACCTGTGGTTACGCTGGACGGGCGGCTTCTCCACCACAACAACTTCCTCCCGGTCTTCTTTAACCAATACGTGCAGTAGGAGAAGAAAGTTGGAATCATTATCATTTAGGTTAGCAGACTCATACATTGTGCTCTTTTAACGAGGCAGGCCTGCCAGTGAGAGCCAGGTGACATGAATCAATGAATCAGTACCTCACTTTTGCAATATTCATTGCCCATTCCAAATCAGTGGAATTCGATCCAACCGGAGTGACGTACTGGTGAATCCGATGATCCGAAGTCGCGTTAGCCCCAAACTTCCGCAACAGCCTTAGTGATCATACCGCGGTACCACAAGGGCTTTCATTCAATATTCTGTAAATTATATAAGAGGTGTGCCGATTATGTATGTACGATGTATGCATGCATATATAATCCGCATGTATCAGCCTAATCATAATATGTATGGTTTTCGCATTACATCAGATAAGCATCAGGGTTTGCTGTGTATATGTACATAGAACTGATCACTAACTGACTTTGGCGATCCGGGCCAGGGAATTCCGCACCCGATCAACCCAATTTACGCTTGATTTCACTCTTACAGCAGCAGTATCTGCAACAACAGTCACTTCCTTGCCGCTTGAAACCCGAACCATCTTCTCTGGGCATTCTGCCCTGTCGTGTACAGTAAATGAATCGACTTGTCTTGTAACATGATAGCTTGAACAGGATGTTTCAATTCCCGTTGGGGTGCACGTTATAACCATGGAATTTCACTGTTTTCCATTGGCTGCCACATCACAACGGTGACTACATCATGGGCGCTCGAGTGATACACCGTAGTCCTGTGGAATTTTATTTTGAGGCATGCACGCTGTTAGAACTGCATAAACCTGTGTCATTTCATTCATTTGCAGGTGGAAAAAAGTCGTAGCCAACGACAAGAAACACTGATGCTGAAACACAAAACAAAGCAGAACAACGTTCTGGATTGCGGAACGACAACGATGGTAAGGTACAAGCTAGGGGGAAAAGGTGTCTACAATGTAACGAGCCCTATGTGTATGTAACGGTGGCACTGTTCCTTCCGCCCATCCCATATTAAACTCCTGTCAAACTCCTAACTACACTCATTTGTTTGTTGTTCATACAGTTGTTTGACGTCACCATCGGCCGAGCATCTTACCACCCGTTCCTTATTGTTTACCGTTGACGTTTCCGTATGTATCCCCCTTAAAAAAGCTACTACGTTGATTGCTTAAATACTGTACTCACTCGTAGTGCTACCTTAGTGTTTTCTGGACCCCAAATATTAGACTTCATCCTGTGAATTCCTGAGAGCATTCCTTTCTTGTGCCGCTGTCTATGTGTAGCAAAGAAATCAGATGTATTGATCAGCAATGTCATCTGATTTGTACAAATAGTAACAACGGGCGCGGTGAAGCTACTTGGGCTCAAAACCTGAAACATCGTTTCAAACCTGTCGAGAAAGTCCAGGATGAGCCGTGTGGGCGGGCGGGCCACGGCAGCTCACGATCCAGAATCTAATGATTCTGCCAGAGTCGGAAATGATGCGTCGAGTAGATTTACCAACGAATGCAACACATTCTTATTGAATTTAAGACGAGACGTTAGCTGCTAAAGAAGGGAGTGGAGGGCGGGCGCGACGAAACAAGAGTGTAGTCGAGCAGAACAAGACTTGCAAGTACGTGGTAGTACGAAGCAAGAAAGGTGAGAATTCAGGCTGTGCCGCCACATAGACATTAAATTCTACGTCCGATCTTGTACCTCGAACTTGCGTAGAAATTAAACTTCGAGCTTCGCGCGCTGAATAAGCCATGATCCAGACTATCAAACTTAACTTCAACTCACGTGTTCTCATTGTACAGTCAAATATAGAAAACAGAACTTCACAGGCTGGGTGAAACAACGTTGGGGCTTTGGCATCAAGTATCCGCTTTGATTAATTTTCGCACGACTGAATCAACGTACACCGATTACAGGCGGCGACGTCTATGCTGATGTTGATGATTCTGGACTACAATCAACTTCCTTAGCCTGAGTTTCATATTTCCTTTGCGTTAAAGTCCACTCAGAAGATAGTGTTCCGAGCATACCACGACTTGATTGGCCGTCTTCGAAACGCATCCTTTATTGAGAATCAGAGAGGCTCGGACTAGGAACGACGAACGACGAACGAAGGCTTTAGATTCAGTGAAACTACTAGAGAACTATATTCGACGAGGAGAGGTCTTTAATACCATGATTGAGACGGAGAATCAAATGGGAACGTGTATCAGGCGTGTAGTGAAGAGTAATTGCATATGTAAAAGGAAAGGAAGAGTACGTACGAGAGTGACGTCGATAGTTGTATCTTGACATCCTTCGTGCATAAGGCTATATATTTCCATGCCAACCCCTCCTCCGCATTTGTGGACATTATCGTGATTGTTATCAATGTATGGTGTGATATGATATTTTAATATGTTCATCGGTTCACTGATGGATTCTTTCAGAATCGTAAGATGGTTTAATTCTCTACCTTCAATTCATGCCACCAAGGAAATGTGTGGTGGTGAGATGCTTGCTATACCTGAGCAAGGGGGAGTGATGATTCCGACCAAAGCCACCGATGTTTACTTATATGGTTGTATCATGCTTCAGGTGTGTTGTCTCTCATTCGATTTCGATTTCGATACAGTTACTGTGCTGACTATGTGCAGCTGTTTTGTGGACATGTACCTTACGTGTACACAAGGAGTATTCATTGGAATATATATCTGTCAAACCCGGAGATCGACCTGTGGCCTCGGTGATTGTAGAGTCATTAGGAGCAGAGCAACAACAAATATGAACGAACTCGACCAGGATACTGTGTACTCGAAGCGGCATTATGAGGACTGGTCTTGCATGCAGTATGCCGGCGCATAAGTACTGCTCATGCATAAATACGAATCCAGCTGGTGTATCATACGACACCGAGAAGCGAGAGCAATACAAGATTGCTCACCCAGACGGTGACCTAGCGGATGCCGTTTTTACTATTGGAGCGAATACAACATACTAGCTGATGCTCGCGCTTGCCTCAGTCGTGCCTTTCTCTCGCCACGAAACCTAGTTGTCGACGAATTCAATGACAAAATTTTAGACATTCTACCTGGTGACTACCGTGAAATGACAATGCACTAAATGAAGGCCAAAAACACAAGAGAGTACCAATAAAACCCAACGACCGAAGGTCATCGCTTGTGTAGTAACAGGACACAACCGGAGTTAACATAAAGACGAGAAAGAGGATGGCTTCAAAACCAAGACCTTATGCAGACAAAGTCTCATTCGACAGTGCTTCTTGAAGGTAATCTATTACCTCTTCTACTGACGGACGATCCTCCTTTTCCTTTGACCAGCACCGCCGCATGAAATTCAGGTGATTAGGTTGGATCTTGATGGAAGAGTCGATGGGCTCTGCATGTTTGAACTTAGCAGAAATAACATGTGTGGCGGACTTCAGCCACCAGTAAGGCTGTTTCCCATATAGGACCTGCACGCGGGCGATATTAAAGTCACTAGCAAGCCAACGACAGACTACGAACCTGAAGCATGATACCGCCGAGAGCGTATATGTCGCTAGATTTAGTTGCGCGTGGTATGGGTTGATCTTGCGGGGGGTCAAGGAGCTCTGGAGCGACCCAACGTATTGCACCGGTGTGGTAGGAAAATGTAGGGTTTGATTGTACCATGATATTGGAGATACCGAAATCTGCAAGACGAGGGGATCCATCGGCAGCAACCAGAACATTATTCTACAATCACCATAAGATGATTCCACCTGCACGACATGTATGGACTTACGTTGGTGAGGTCACCGTGTATCACGTCGCGATCGTGGACTGACAACATAGTTATATTGGTCACTTTCATAGTCAATCTGTCACTTACGATACTGGAGCCCCTCGGTGATTTGTTTAAGCTGTTGCAAACGTACTGAATTCCCGTACTCAGTTTCGTGAATAAAACTCACCAGCTGCAGCCTATCCATCAACGAGAGGGTCTCGTGTGCATGTTTGAGGTAAGAGTTCAAAGTCCCGTTCAGCATCCAGGGAGAAACTAATGCGCGAAATGGGCCGAATCCCTCTACAGTGCCATACAAGGGCAATACATATTGATGCTCCAACGCGGCCCATATGAGGATCTCCCGGTCAAGATCCTGCATCTCAAAAGTTAGACATGCGGCCGTCAGGCTGGACCTAGGCCAATATACCTTGTTGATTCTAACATATTCACGATCACTCATGGTTGGGAGTCGTGGGGATTTGACCGCAACCTGAAGCCACAATCAGGACATGCAGAATAAACAAGTCTATGAAATACCTCATCCAAACTTGCGTCACGGCTCCATATACATTTATAAACATCTCCGAGACCATTCGAGGCGGTTGGGTAGTTAGTTGTCTTGTGAATATCACTTGGTTCGATGCAGAGAGCACTACCACTACTCGATGTTTACGAAGTCCTGTCCTGAGGCAAAGAAATGACATACGTGTGCTCCACGCCGGAAGTTCTGTTGGGAGTGTGACGACCAACCTGTTAGAGTGAAATGAATGTATCGCTCTACCGCCAGACAATGCCAAAAAACGTACAAGACCAAGGAACTGTTGCAAGCGGTTGAGCACGTCCATCGTTGACAGGGAATCACAGTAGGAAATAGTCCTGTTCCTTAGCATTAATGAACTACAGTCTTATATGCAGACAACATTAGTGCAACAACATCGCAAAGTTATTCCACCAATAATTACGTGGAAAGAGACCGTCTGCGCGGGGTCTAGCTGAGAACGCCATAACTAGTATTGGTCGAAGTAATGCCGTGGGTGAATCAGATCGATAATGAATACTGTCCTTCACTACAAACGCCCATTTCAGTATCTATATGCGTCGAGCGCAAACCTACTTCTGCAGAGATGTCGGGCAGACAATGAGACATCTTGAAGCGTGTTTCGGGGATGTGAAGAGCAAGTACTGGCAGCGCCGAAAATAGCAATAATTGCGCCAGGCAATATTTGCCCTCACCAGCTTTGTTAGCGAAAGACAAACCTCGTGGCGAAGAGATAGAACTTCGAGAAAGTTCGACTGGCAATATTATAATAGTTTGGGCTACAAAACATTAATTGCTAACACAAGTCAGTCGTTCGGTGACGGTCAATTTGAGGGCTTCAGCCAGATCGAAGAAGTTGATGGCTTGTACATCATGGAGCCCTTTCAGTCTTAGTTAGAAAAAGCAACTAGGATGCGGTCGCACCGAATCGATCCAACCCATTTCGCCTGCGCCAATAGGTTTCCAACTACTTATCTGTTCATATATTAATGGGGCCTGCACAAAGCCTGCAGGGCGTCCCTGACTCTCACGCGGGATCTGGAAGAAACGTATCCACATATGACAAGTTCTGAGGTGGGGACATACCGTATCGGCTTGTGCTGTCGTTCAACCGCCCATCAACGAGATTGGCAACTGAGCCATATTGAAATCGCTCTTTGATCGTGGGGTGTTCATTGCAAGGCCTGGCTTGGGTAAACTGCCATCACAGCCAGTACGATCGTCTTCATGTCGTGACAGGCGAAGACAAGGTTTCGTAGTTCTGAATCTTCCTTGATTCGATCATCCAGCCATGGGCTGCCAACAGTCAGTCTTCAAGCTTGCACCTTGATCGATCCTTTCAGGAATGGTTTCCTTCGTAGGTACGTTCAAATAACCCATATTTGCAGCTATCTTTCGCATTTGAATAGCAAGACCGCATCTCGTGATGATATTGTGTGAAACACGGATTTTCAGCTCATGAGTGGCACAACGTCTGCACAGCTGGAAATATGTGACAAACCCCGCAGACTCTTAAGTAAGCCTGTGCTCGACTGTCAACTTGACCATGATAAGTAACTTCGCACGCAAACCTAAATTGAATAACATTTACAGCCCTGCATGCAAATTCAATAATTCTATGCAACTTGAAGTCAACCGCACTGTCTCAGATTTATTGCTTACCATCTTCAGTGTCCACGTAGCATGAATAGCACAACTCAAGTCGCGAGTTGCAACACGCTAGCATCGATTTCCCCCATGCCGGACTATGATGTGATACTCCTCCAATTTGAAGTATACCATTGGGCAATGTTTTTGAGCTCGACTCCTCGCCGGCCAAGAACACGCGCAATCGTAGGTGCCCAGCGGTCTCACCAGCTCTTGTGTTCATGCCTCCCACCAAAAATGTTGAACAAAGGTTGTGGTTACATGTCTCGACGTCTGGGACAACACTGATGACGAAATAACATGTATGTTGCCCCCTTCACTGTTTCATTCGTGGACTCATTGGCCCTTTTGTCTTTTCCGCGCAGTCTCATACACCGACGAGCGATTTCGAACTTGATGCATCGCCGACCAAGAACACACGCAGCCGTCCTCCTCAT